TAAAGGTTAGTTTTAAATTTATTATTTTGAATTTATATATAACTTGATTATTTAATAAAGATTATTACATGTTAGACATCAGGACTCGAGGTTCAGCAATTTCCACAGTAAACAAATGGTTTCCTGATCATCCCACAATAAGTTCAAATGTTGAATCTTTTGCATTACAATCTTTAAAACAACTTTGTGATGAAACTCCGCCTCCATTATTTGATTATCATTATCATGTTGATAGTATGACAGACACAAAAATGGTTACAGAGGAAGAAAACGAACCGTCAAAATGGAATAATCACGATGTTGAACGTCATTTGGACTTATTTCTTTCTCTATGCTCAAAGAAAAGTGAACTATTTGATTTGTAAGTTATATTTTTTATTCATTATATGATACATTTACATACATTTACATACATTTACACTAAATTGCCTAATAAATATTTTCCTTCTTAAAGGTTACTTTCAATATACGTCAATACACCTGAATCAATGCAAATATTAATTCGAAAAAATGCATTTAAAATGGTTGAAACAATCGGAATAAATGGGTTATTGAACCTTTTCCGTACTTTTCCAGATGGTTCTGAAGATTTTGTTTTGAAAATATTGGTGGTTTATACGAATAAACAAGGTAATGACTGATTAATAATCAATATAATTAATTTTTTGGTTGCTAATCTAATTTTATTTTAATATTTTTAATATTTTATGTTGTAATATTTTAATATGTAATATAGCGACACCACCTGCTCAGTTAGTTAATACTGCAAAATCAGTGATAATGCAAAGGAATTTGGATGGAAGATTTCTTTTCCCTATAATTGCTTTTTTTGAAAAGGTAAATTTGATTTTTAAATAGAAGTAAATATTTTACAAATAAGTGTGATAATTCATATTTTTTATAATTGATATAAAGGGTGAAATAATGCGTAATCTTCCTAAAGTGATTGCTACTCTTGATGCAACAGATAAACAACGAGATATAGTAAAAAAAGTGTTTCGAAAAATTTTGACACCACCACCAAGTGGTACCACACCAATGACACCGAGCGAGTTACTGGTTTCATTACATCAAATGGATAAAGATGGTGTATCATTGAAACAGTCAGTTGAAGGTGAGAAATAAAATTATTTAGTATTGCTAAAAAGAAATAATAAACTAACCATTATTATGATCATGATTATCATCATCA